AATAGAGGACATAAGTATAACCGAAGTGTTTTAGAATAGTAGCAAGCACCTCAAGAAGGTTCATGGAACCTCAATTTGTACAGGAGACAATTCTAAATGAGAAAACAACTCAAACTCCTAATGTTACAGGAGCACTAGATAACTAAAATGAGCCCCGTATGAATCTTTTGATTAACCAAAGGATCATTTTGAAATTTAATTACTTTGGAATTCAGGGTCTAGGATTATTTTCTTAAAATAGGTTCCATTTATAAAGATTTGTGTTTTCTGTCCTCTCTTCTTCCTTCTCTCCCTCTTAGTTTTTATATTTGATGCTGTTATCTACTTAAGAGAATTCACCTGTTGGCTATACTTTTGCCAAGTTATGGAAAAACAGTATTTTAAAAAGTATAAATTTGGGACTGTGAGAGTTTATAAATCTCATTTCACTGTGATGAAACATCTTTGATATCTTGACATTTCATGCTCATATAATTCTTCTGAAATACATCTCTAAGCTCCTGGGAGTCCTTCTGTAGCATACTGGTATGTCGAGGAAGCAAATATTGCAAAGTTGCCAAAAGACCAATTCCAATCTAATTAGGGCTTGCACTGCTTCGGTGAAGGCTACATAAACACTCTGTTAATACTCACAGTGGCAGCTTTGTCAATAACTCCCCAGAATCTTCAGATTTATAACAGAAATCAGCAAAGTATTGATTCTCTGACACTGATAGATCTACCAGATTCACTGCCTCCTTTCTCTCGCCTCTGTCCCAGTAGAGGGCACAAATGCCAGTTGTTCTAATGTGCTCCTAAATACTGAAGGATTATTATTAAAATATGGCTGGCAACCCTGATCATTAATTATCATCTTGTGCACATATGCAGTGTGATTGCAGGAAATAATCAGCTTTGTCTGCCAAATTGGCAACACTTAGAAACTAATTTGTTATGACACGGCATCAAAGATATTTAAACAACAAACTCAAGGCTCTGCTGTTCTGCATACATTGTTAAATAGCAGATAGCATCATTAAAAACAGTTAACAAATCCAGAGGGAGGTAGCATATATCCTTGAACTTCCTGTCAGGTGGAATTGTCAAAAAATATTTTAGATGCCTCCAATCTCACAGTTCATGTGCTGGGGACTCTCCTTCACAGTGACTGTCTTTTAGGGTGCTGCTGACTGAGATTGTCCAGAGGAGCAGCTGCCACTTGAGAGCTACTCAAATGAGCATTTGGAAGGTTAATGCAAAGTGTGTTAAGGGCAAAGATTAGATTGGATTGCTATTATTCTGTTGTGAAACATGAGAATTCATTTACCTGGTTGATCCTTTGAAGTGAGAGGAGGGGGATCATTCAGGCTGATTGATAGCATTGTTGTGCATCATAGTAAAGGAAAAGAGATGATGGTCAGGACAGCTTGCTCATTCTATGCCCAAGGCTGGCCAACTCACTCCAGAGTGAGAATAGTCAATTTGTGCAGCAACACACTTGTTCTAAACCAATGTTTCCATCAGAGTTATTTAGGACTATTCTCATTCAATGTCTTTTCGCCACCATTTTCTTTTATCTCCCTCACCTGAATCATGACCAGTCCATGCTCTTCATCCTTTTCCAAACTCCAAATCTTTAACTGGCTAATATCCCCAAACTACGCAGATACAAATTTGTTTCATTCCTTTTGCATATAAAAATACAAACATTTTTCATAAGTTTCCTTCCAAAAGTTCCAATTAGAAGATATTATTACTGATTTTCAGAGTTAAACATAAAATAGTGGCAATAATATATCTTTACAAAGCAAAAATTCTAGGCATTTCTTGAAGCAAAATTTTCCACCATTCCTGATACTTTCTTCCATATGGATGTTAAGTTTTGCCTCTCTTAATACATTTATTCACTCCATCTTTATTGAGTGTCTATCTCTGGGAAGACGAAATGGGTCTTACAAATCTCCTCTCTTCCTGTTGAGGCTGAACGACCTACAGAAGTAGCTAGTCTCGACTGTTCTCCCAATGCAGCCATTTGCCCACTTCTTTCACCTGGGGTTCTGACTGAGTCTAAGGCTGCCTGGAATGACTATGGTTTGAATGTGTCCCCTATAAAATTCAGGTGATAACAATGTGATAGTTCTAAGTAAAGCCTTTGAGAGCATAATACTTCCCCTGCGAATGGGTTAAATATCTATAAAAGAAGCTCACAGCATTTCATTGGCTTGACCTTCCCACCTTCAGCCTTATGAAAATACAGCAAGAAGGTCCTTATTAGATTCTGGAATCTCACACCTGGATTTCCAGACCTCAGAATGGTGAGAAATAAATGTTCTTTCTTTATGAATTACCTAGCTTCAGGTATTCTGTTATAGCAGTATACACTACTGAGACATGTATAAGTCTACCTAATTTTGGAGCATATTAAATGGGTCCATTTGGTTATCCAACCCAAGTTCTCCAACTTAGCATGTATAAATAATAAAATAGACATTCTGATATCTGTTGGCTATCCTTTAGTCTTATTTCAATTCTTCCAAAAACTGGCAAGGAAATAGTATACTATTTCTTTGGCTTCCATAAAAGTGACATTTCCTAGCCTGAAAAGATAAATAAAAACAAAAAAGTGGAATTTAGAAAAAACAAGACCTGCATTCAAGAAACTTCTAAAGAGACTAAAATGAAAGGATCCCTATGGTTGTCTAGGGATGGCTGTCTCTAGCTAGGTGGTTAATTTGGCTAATATTAAGCTACATCTTCCAACTTGAATTTTATTAGGAAAGAAGCTGACATTTTGGCCTCCATCTGACACTTCTTGTATTTTTCCTTCAATTTTTTTTCACAACTTAGCTGGAAAGAAGTTTCTGAAGAGCAGAAGTTAAAATAATTAGGATAATATTTAAGAAAAATTACTAAATTAGCATGTAGTTTAACCAAACACTTTTTTTTTCATTTAAATAAAAAACAGGCACAGAATTGGATGAACAATTTTCGTACTGTGACACTCATCGTCTGTGCTTAGTTTGTTAATTATATTATGCTTAATGCTTAATAAGGTACTAAACTCTTTAATGATCACAACTTCACAGGCTTCTTTGTTTTTTTTTTTTTTTTTTTGGTACCCAGGATTTAACTCAGGACCTTGGGCTTGCGAGGCAGGCAGCAGAAAGACTGAGCTAAATCCCCGGTCTACAGCCTTCTTTGTTGAATCTGCTATTTGGGCCAACCCAAGAACCCCTAAGCCATGAACATCTTTTATTCTTTATCTATACTCATTCCTTTTGTGATCTTGTCCAATTCATTAACTTTAGATATGATCTAAATGTCAATCTCCAAACCGAATCTCTCCCTTGAAATCCATACTTACATGGCAAGGGTCTACATAACACTTCTGTGCAACTCATCAATATTTTAATTTAATGTACCCATAACTGACCTCAAGACTTTCCTATCCAGATGTGCTTCACATGCTCTATGAATAAACCTACAGAAATGCCCAGTAGAGGAGAACCAGTGCCCCCAGCTCCCAGCCTTTGCCAGTCCTACCAGTGAGCCCTTTCACTCTGGCCAGCACCTAGATGACTGCCAACTGAGAACCTACATACCAGTGAGCCCAGCTAGTCACCCTAAAGAAGAGAGGTCGTGTGCCAGCTAAGCCCTTCCCAAATGGCCCACACAAGGAACTGAGCAAATTAGCAGTTGTTTTAAGACATTTTTCAAGTGCCTTTTGGAATAAAAATAAATAATAAATAGGAATAAATAAATATTTGCTCATAGGAATTGCTTAGACACTTATATCAAACCTATTGATCATCTACCAAAGGCTTTTGGTGACTTCTCCTCACAGCTGGAATGAAATCTCAAATCTGCACTTTGACTCTACTTTCCACGACCCATGTTGCATGGTTCCTGGCTCACACTTTCTCACCTGACCTCTTGCCTTTTGCTGTCTTCCACTAACCTCCAGTCATCTTGGCCTCTTGACCCAGCAAGGAAACAGTTCTTCACTTCCTTATTCCTCAGTTCTTTGGGACCTGGAAGAAGAAATTCAGTCAACCCACACAGGTGGTCCTGTAGAAGTATAGGTAGAATTTATTATAAAGTGAACAAAGAGCTACACCTTCAACCAAGGCAGGCACTGCCAGGAAGGTTATCTGCACCAAGTGTGAGTTTGGATACCATTTTATGTACACAAAGTTATTCCTGGGGTTCAGGGAACTAGGATAATTGTGATGCTTAATAGCATGTTTACTTAGAAGTTACCTTGGAATTATGAAATATTTTCCTGTCCTTTTTAGATGGTCAGTGTTTCCTCAGGGGCTATAACCATGAAGAGAACTTAGGGAATAAATTTAAGGAAGATAAGATCTTAATTTAAATCAGGTCTCTTTATTTAAACTAGGTCATCCACTAATGCAGAGGTGTCTTTAAAAAACATTTCCTTCCCTGATATTATTGGGTTGTAGGTTATGGCAGCCAGGAATGCTGTATGCCTTCTTTTGAATCTAGACTGCCAGGTATCAGAATGTGTGCAATGTGTAACCTTAGTATGTCAGTGCACTCTGTTCAGTCACTTTAGATCTGAGACCTAACATAAGTATAACATATTGATATCCTTGCTTCTTAACTGCCAATACATGCTATTTTGAACACCACCTCCCCTTTTTTCCCTCAGGTCCACTAATGTCTAACTACTTGCCATACAATCTCACCTCCAAGCTTGTGCACAGGCTCTTGTCTCCCTTTGTAATTCCCTTTTGCCTAGATTATTTCCTCACCTCTCCTGAAAGGTCACATCCTCAGAAGGGCCTTTCCCAACTACTCAGAGTAAAACAAATGCAAAAACAAGAAAAGAAAAAAGCAATAAAGACACAAAAGCCTTTATCCTTCTGTGAAGGTTAATCTTTATTGTCAACTTGCCTGGGTTGAGGGACAACTAGGAGATTAGCAAAGCACACTGGGGGGGGGGGGGGGGTTCCAGAGATGACTGGCACACAGGCCAGCAAAAATTGGTGGGAAGACTTGGCCTGCCTGTGGGTGACACCATCCAATAGCTTTGCAGCTTAGATGGAACAAGAAAGGAAAGAAAGAAATTAGCAGGTTCTTCATCCTTCTGATGTAAACTCCACCAGCTGTTCTTTAGGAAACTTCCGATCCTCCAGCCTCATACTAGAACTGTGTCTCTGACTTCTCTTGCTCTGTGATTCTCAGCTTCTTAGATGAAGTAGTTACTGGGTCCTCTGGTTTTCACGCATGCTGACGGCCACTGTGGATTATCCTGATCCCATAAGGAAATTTAATAAATCTCTCAATTCTGTTCTAGAGAACCCTAACAACATATCCTCTATCTTCTTAAGCCCAGGTTTATTTTAATTCATTGCACATGGTCCTACTCAATGCTAAGATTATATACTTGCTTAATGTTTCTTAATTCTCTCCTTTAAGAGAATGTGTACTTCATGAAAGAGGAAACTTTTTTTCTTGTAACTGCTGTTTTCCTGGGGCCTAGAATAGTACCTGGCACATGTAAAAATGAATGAATTGTTTAGCTTGCCTTGAGCACAAAGTAAGTGAAAAGTGGCACAAGTTATAACAGGTAAACAAGTTATAATAAGTAGGAAAACTGCAAATCCAATGTTCAGAGAAGTATTGGACATTGTCAGTGCTCTGCCTACATTGTAGGGTCCCTCCTGCCAGCCTGTGCATCCCTCTCCTCACCTTTGTACACTGCTTCCATCACTTACACTCATAACTTTTTCCTAAGGATGTTGTCTGGATTATTTTAGGTATTTTGACCACACAGGCCCAGAGTTAGACCTGCTTGGGAGATTATGCCATAGTCAATGACTGGCCAGGAATATAAAAGCCAGCCTATCTTCCTTCAGTCAAGGTGGAGTAAACTTTGAGGGGTAATGGCTGCTCCAGAGATGCCATGAGATCCAGCTGATGCTGTGACTCCACCAGAAATCTCAAATTGGTCTGAATATTTCCCTCTCCTTGTCCTGATTCCTACACTTTTCTCCAGGGCAAAATTCTTTCAGGGAATCACTTTGAAACCTCTTTTCAGAGTTTGGTTCTAGGGAATTCACCCTAAGGAAAAGAATCTTGGCTTAGTGACCAATACGAAGTCATTTGTGATCTCTGCATAAGGAAGTGAAAATGCAAGTATTTGTTGGGTGCTAAGTGCTCAGCCTATACAAAGTACTTTCATGTATAGTCTTTGTAAACCTTCACAATTCTATTTTTGTGTGACAAGTATTTTTGTTTAATAAGTTTAGCTCAAACTATAGTATACAGGATTAACTGTCAGAGAAATAACTGAAGAAACAACTATGACCATGACAAGCATGCAAGCAACTGTGACGAAGGGAAGCAAGACGGGCCAAGGATTTTACTCTGTCACCAGCAATAGAAGCAAGAAGCATTCTACCAGAGTCTAAAGAAAGAGTATGGGATTGGCACTGTCATAAGTAGAGGGTCTCTCAAATTCTCTCAGCCTTACTTTTCTCAGTTGTAAATTAATGGATTCAAGAAAAGTTATTTCAGGATTTCTGTCTTGTTCAAGAAATCTCAGAACACTACTTAGCATTAAATCCACAAAGATGAATTGAAGTTACTTGGACACCCCATAGCATGGCACTGTGGAAAGAATTTGTTCATTCTCTGATTAAGATTCATGTTCAGATTCTTGTCACTTTTGAACCTAAATAAATTACTTGAACTTACTGATTTCCAGATTACTTTTCTGCAAATTGGGAATATCTAATTTATAGGCTTGTATAAAGCTTAAAATTCTATGTAAAATACTCACAAAACTGGGAAAACATTAGGAGAATTTATTAATTTGTAGCTTTATTACTTCCTTATTCCACTGAATCTAATTTCCTCTATCTCACTATTTTTAAATGAAAATACTCATTACATTTTGTCTTTTATTGTTTTGTTTAATTAAAAATATTAGAGAAAATTTTTTTCTCCTAATTTTACTATAAAATGAAATTTTTAAATTATACTATGAATTTAAATAAGATTTTACAATCTGGCCCGTGAGACCATAATGTTTTAATAATTTATGTATATGAAAACTTGGGATTCCTAATAACTGACTTTCAGACAACCTTTCAGATAGGAAATTACTATAAATTTACTGATGGTATCAAAGACATATATATGTGTGTGTGTATATATATATACACACATATATATATGCATGATAGGAAATGTTGCATTGATTTATAAAGAGTTACAAAGACAATGAAGAAATGGAAAAAGGGACATTAAGGGAAGAGAATTTGGGGAAAGTGAGAGAGATAAAATCCAAACATTTCCAAAACAGCCATTACAAAGAAACCTAATGAGCTCCATTAGGTTTCCCTGAAATGGCTGTTTTGGAAAACTTTTCCAAACTCTTCCAAGTACAACATGCTACTTCACACTACTTCTTGCAAACTCACATTTAATTTTAAAAATTTGCTTATGACTGTGATCCTATATAGTATTTCACAGTCAATAAGAAAATTTTTATTTGATTTCATTCAGTATAAGTCATAGAATAATAATCCTACATTTTTAGAGGTATCAGCACCAACTATCTCTAGGTGACATATCTATGTATTATAAATTCTTCATCTTTTGGTTCAATGTTGACAGAGGCAACAAAATATACTAATTTTAACTGACACCTGAACCTATAAAAAAAATAGAATTAAGAAACAAGCATTACCTTATTTTAACCAAAGCCTCTTTTAATTGACTTTGCTATTGAACTGTTTTTGTTCAATGTATTTTTGCTTTTGTTTTTTTTTCTTCAATATACTATCAGAAATGTTCTTCAAAACCCAAGAAACAAATTTAAGCCTCAGAGAAAACTTTATTAGTTTACTTCCCTGTCATCATTTTAAAGTAACACATTTTACGCAAATGCTTGGGAACAATGTCTTTTATTCCTTATTCTAACTAGAGTTCTATAAACTTGAGGAATTTTATTATAAATCTGAATCTTAACTTGAAACACATCTAATCTACCTAATCAATATTTTATTGCATTAACTTTTTATGTAGTTCCATTAAGTAAATAAAAAATCATTACTTCAGCCTATGGAAGACCCTAATTCCAAACTTAAGAAGCAGGTGCCTTGTTATAAAAGTTTATAGAATTGAATAAAGAAAATCATAATGAGAAGATAAATAGGGCCTATGGAAATCTCAAATTTCAAACCTAAGTGGCAGCAGTCTTCTTATAAAAGTTTATAGATTTGAAGAAGGAAAATTTTAATGAAAAGAGACATGCAGAATTTATTCTTAATACTGAAATGGCTTCATGACAAGCTAAACATTGTAGTATAATATTATCCAAGAATAAAATCACTGAGGGGTGAATTATCCATATTATTAGTTTAGGTAAATATTGCTTAGCAGTTTTCCCAATTTACATTCCTACAAGAATACGTCAGATTCCTAGGTGCTGTCCATTTGAGTCTTTTTCAGTATGACAATTCTAGTGTGAATGTTGTCGCATTATATTGTGGTTTTAATTTACATTTCTTGGCAATTAGTGATGCTGAACAACTTTTTACATATACTAGCCTCTTGGATATGCTTTTGCTAGTTTCTTTTGGAATCTTCCTTTTTCCTTTATTACCCATAAGACTTACATATTCTGAACTTAGGTCAGAGTCCTTTGTCAGATATATATGTATAATAAATATCTTCAACCTTCTATGTATTTTTTTTGATAGAACTTTTACATTAATAGAAGTTCTTCACTTTTATTAAAGCTCATTTCTCAACTGTTTAAAATAGTCAGTACTTTTTGAGTTCTGCTTAGGAAATATTTGCCTATTTCAAGGTCATGAAAATATTTTTCCATGTTTATTTTTAGAAGCGTTGTTATCTTTTATGATTGTTCTCAAATTAATTTTGTGGATGATATGGAGATTTTGAAGTTCACCTTTTGTGTAGGGGTATCCATTTTACCTTGAAATGTTATTGAAATATAATTTAAATACCATAAAACCTATACAAAACTGCATAATTCAATGACTTTTGACAAATTTATACCCCTGTGTAAACAACATATAATCAAAATACAGAAAATCTCCAGAAAGTTCTCTTTTGCTCCTCTATCGTCAGTGCACCTGCCCTTCCCAAATGGAATCATTGTCCAATTTCTTGTAATGATGGGAAAATTTTGATTGTTTTAAAGTTGCTATACACACAGTCATATGGTATGTATTATTCTTCTTGTAAGCATGTTTTTATTCCTCTTGGTCATATATGTGAGAGTAGAATTTCAACCTAGTCCTATTTATTTAAAATCCACCATTTCCTCATTGGATTACAGTGGCAACTTGGTTGTAAAACAGATGTAAATATCTGTGGATCTATTTATAGCTTTTTTTTACTCCATTCTGTTTGTTTATTATTGTTCTACTCTTATTTCAATACCACACAGCACTGATTAGTATGGTTCTGAAAATCTTAACATACACTAGTCTGAGTTCCCTAGATTTGTTTTCTCTTTAATCTTTCTTTGACTATTACAGGCCTTTGCATTTCCACATAAAATATAGAATTCGCCTGTCAATTTCCACAAAAATCCTACTATGATCTTGATTGAGTCTGCACTGAATATATTGCTCAAACAAGAGAATGAGAATATTTAATCTTCTAATTCTATAACATAGTATATTGTTCTATTTGTCTTTAATTTTCTTTCAACAGTGTTTTGAGGTTTTTGAGGTAGAAGTCTTGCATATTCTTCATTAGATTTATTTGTAAGAGATTAATGATTTTTGGTAGTGCTGTAAATGGCATTTTAAAATATTATCTAATGTTTTGCTAAACTATGAACATTATCATTGCTTTTTTTCATTGTCTTTGATTCTAATAAAATTACTAAATTCACTTAATTTCAATAATGTGTTTGTACATCATTCTAATTTTATATGTACACAATCATGTTAGCTGAAATTAATAATGTATTTTCTTCCTTGAAATTTTTATTTCTTTTGCCTTATTGCATGAAGATGCACTATGCAGTGTTGATAAAAATTATAGTGGAAATATCTGTCCTGTTACCAAATTTGGAAAGAAGTTTTTCAAGATTTTACTACTTAGTATGATGTTAAAAATAACCTTTAAAAAATCTGATTATCTTTTATAAATTTAAAGAAGTTTCTATTCCCACTTTATTGATATTAAAGAACATGAATGAATTATATAAACTTACTTTTTGCATAAAATAACATGATTATATTTTTCTTCTTTATTCTGTTAATATGACAAATCACATATATTTATTTTATTTCTTTACATATATTTATTTTAGTACAGTAAATCAATATGTGTGATATTGATTATATGAAATTTCTCCATATTTAAGCCTGAATCCTGAATAAGATGCTGTGCCAATTAATCTTAAATGTTAAATTGACTTAAGAGTCAAGAGATTCCTGCTGATATGATTTGTCCATGGGGAGACTATATGCATCAATGGATTAATCCACTGATGTTTGTGGTGTACTGTGCTGTTAAGAGATGGACCACAGTTGGAGGAGCTGAGCTACTTTGGGCTGTGCCTTTGGAGGGTTTATCTCTTGCTGGTACTTTTCCCCTGCATTCTTCTTCCAACCTCCATGAGATGAGCAGCTTTGCTCCACTATGTTTTTGCACCAGGATGTTTCTGCATTGGAACCAGGTGCTATGGATTGAACCCTCTGAAACCATGAGCCAAATGGACCTTTCCTCCAGTAAGTTGTGGGTGTCAGGTATTCTTCCCAGGAACAGGAAAGCTGACCAATACAGGTGCATTTCTAGTATCATGAAAGTGCTTATTTTTAGAATTTTTAAATTGTGTATATTATATCACATGATATTTTATAATCTCTTAAAATCAACAAGATGAACACAGAGCCAGGCGTGTTAGCACACGCCTGTTATCCCAGCATTTGGGAGGCTGAGGAAGGAAAATTGACATGAGTTCGAGGCCAGCCTGAACTACAAAGCAAGATCCTGTTTCAAAAAAATCAACACAGAATTCTACATAGACTATTTGTCTTTCATAACAAAAGAGCAGTTGTGAGGAACTGCCTGGAAACAGCCCTCAGTAAGACATGGTAGCAGAGAGCAAAAGAAAAAGCCTTGTTCTTTGGTGGCAGAGGAGTTTCTATTAGCCTCAGACTTTGTGCTATGTGTGAGTTGAGTTCTATTCTAAAAAGCCAAACATTCTTCTGATTGGAAGAGCTCATGCTTATATAAAAATTCAGAGTGGGCTTAGAAAATGTTATAGAAAGAAAATTTATCTAAAAACTAACAAGAAGCTATCCCTGGTTTGCAAAATTATGGTTGATTGTTTTTCTTTCGAATTCATTATACTTCAGAAAGAGATGCCTTACCTGCCTCTTGGCCTAGCTATTTCACACATGCATATCCTGAGTGTACTCTATTCCAGACTATTTCTATAAACCTTTCTTTTTCTGTCCTTGGAACCAGGAAACCAAGGCACTACACTCTTGGGATAAACTTTTCACTGATGGACAGATGGAAGCCAGTTGACAGTTACGCACCGCCCCCCCACCACCACCACCATGAATTATCTTGAAACACAGTCTCCATGGCTCTGAGAGGACACTGCTGTGGGATCCAGCAATTGGTGATATTTGGAGATGGTTAAATAAAGAATACATCACCATGTCAGCTCTCCCTTCTCTCTTGTTCCATTGCCTTGTTCTTCGCTCGTCTCCCTAGGAGTATCTTTCCAACAAAGTACCAGCAAAGAAGTTGTCTGCTGCAGATTCTATTATCTGAAAAACCCAAGTTACAACAACACACTGTGAATTTTGTGTTTGCAATTATCACCAAGTAAACTCAGAAAATCTACTTTTACTAATAATTTTCAAAAACTTTCCATTACACAATCATTTTATTTTAAACGACCATTTCTTTTCACCCTTTGAATTAATCATGTTTATTCAGAAAAAAATCACTTCCTTATACTTTCTAAATCTGAAAATGATTTTTTAATATCACATAATCCTTTTGTGTTTCAAAAGAAACTTTTTGGATTGTATTTACATGTTAAATCCAACATACTCCAAAAAGTTTGGGCACTATCAGGCCTAGAAGTCTAAATGATGACAGAACTTATTTGTTTAACTTGTAAGTTTAGATGTTTATCTGCCATTTCTTTGTCAATTGCATTCTGAAAACCATATGACAATTTAAGTGTTTGGTATGTATCGCATCTAATAACTGTATAATTTATCTTTCAAATAAAAATGGATACAGTATATTTGAATTCTGCCAATTAAAATCAGAATATATAAAATAAAAATTTTGTCAATAAAATAGTACATTTTGAAAGATTCTTTTTAAGATACATGCATTTCATGACATGAAGTATGTGTAAAATATGATTTTAAAATTGTGCTTATGCATATTGATTTGGATGGACCCTCAGTTACGTGAGGTATTATCAAATGGACAATATCAAGGCATTAAATGATAGGAAATAGTATTACTAAAAACCAGCCTTAAATATACAAAGTAAAAGTCTACACTGTCTCAAATAGGCTTTTTAATCCCTTATTGGACCTTTATTATGTCTGAGAAAAAAATAAATTAAATTAAGTAAAACAAAAGCAGGAAATGTTGGCACACACCTATAATCCCAGCATTTAGAAAGCTGAGGCAAAAGGATTGTTGTGAGCTCAAGGCTTAGCCTGGGCTACACAGTGAGTTCAATGCCAACTTGAATTGCATAGAGAGACTCTGTTTTAAAAATCTAAATAAATAAATAAGAAGAAAAAGAAATAAAATTAAAATATTATTTCTCAAATGAATTTGTGTATTTTCAGCTAACAAGAATATTTGTTTTGCTAATAAAAATTTAGGTAATTTTTATTAAAATTTAAAGCTAGGAAGAAAGAGCAATGCCTTCAATGTTATCACTTACAAGATATCACCACAAAGCAAGATTAAATACTTCATATGGATTAATTCATTGTTTATTATCACAAGCCTCAGAGGCAGATATTATTCTCATTTATATAGGAAGCACATAAGACCAAGAGCATTAACTGCCAAAATGTCTCAAAGCTAATGATTGATGAAATCAAAAGTTGAACTCAAGATGTCTGGCTTCATGATAAAAATTAACGTGATTTTGAAAATATTTTGCTGACTAAAGTCTTTCTCAGAAACAACAGCTGTGACATGCTTCAGTCATCTTCTGAAAAGTTAGAAATACCACCTGGTATTTGTGAATGACAGTTGAATATGTGGAGAATCAGCATATCTTCCAGGTAATAAACCAACATCTGGGTAACAACAGAATTTTCTATTTCAAGGTTTGAAAGCATTAAGGAATCCTAAGACAAGCATACCATACCATATTGTTTTTCAAGTGGTTACACAAAAAGACCATAGGATTTTTTCTTTTTAAAAAATACTTTTGTATGAGAAAATGAAAAAATGGAAACAAAGTCTTTGTAAATAAGGAGGGATGGAGGGGTTGAAGGGAGGGCAGGGGAATGGGGAAAAAATAAGAACCAAGAGAGACTATGTAAAGGTGAAAATTTCCAATGATGAATGTCATTACATTGTATACCTAAGATGTATCAATAAAATTAATTAAAATTAAAAAAAAGAAATATAAAAAATACTTTTGTTACTCAAAATGTTTTTGGAAATCTCTTTCCGAACTACCTTTATGATTAGTTTCTAAGCTACAAAATAAAAGTCATCATCATGCACTTTTTCTGTCAAATCAGAAGAATATCACAAAACTTCAGCATTTATTTTATCTGTAAAATTTTTCCACATGTCAAATTCTGCTCTTAAGGATCAACTTTTAGGGCCAGGGATTTAGCTCAGTGGTTCTGGTGCCTGCCTGGAAAGCACAAGGACCTGAGTTTGATCCCATACCAAAAAAAAAAAAAAAAAAGAATCAACTTTTATGACTTCTGAAAATAATCAATAGGGAGGGGTGGAGAGGTTGAAGAGAGGGCAAGGGAATAGAGAAGTAGATAAGAACCAAGATATATCATGTAAAGGTACAAATTCCCAATGATGAATGCCATCATATTGTATATCTAAAATGTACCAATAAATTTAAATTTAAAATTTTTTTAAAGATCTATGCCATGTCCTGGGTGGAATTCTCAAAATATGTTTTCTTTCACTCAGGTGAAAGAAAAATTACTGTTCATTACTTGCAAACATAATTTAACAACACCTTAAAAAGATCATAAACCATAATTAAGTTAGCTTTAGTCTAGGGGTGCAAGAATGGTTCAACATGTGCAAATCAATAAATATAATATTACACAAAATAGATTCAAGGATAAAAACCACATGATCTCAGTTGGTGCAGAAAAAATGACTTTGATGAAATACAGCATCCTTTCATGATAAAAATAAAATTCCTGAAGTTACCAGCTACTGAAGGATTATTCCTCAATGTAGCAAAGGGCATATACCACAAAATCAAAGTCAACACCATTGTGCATGGGAAAAAACTGACACTTTCCCCTAAAATCAAGAATGAGGTAAGGATATCCACTGCTACCATTACTTTTTTAAATAGCTCTTGAAATTTTAGCTAAAGGAATAAGGCAAGAGAGGGAAATAAAAGGGATACAAATAGGAAAGAAAGAAGTCAAATTGTCCTTGTTTGCAGATGATATGGTCCTATACTTAGAAGACCCTAAATACTCCACCAAAAGACACTTAGACCAGATAAATGAATTCAGCAAAGTAGCAGAATGTAACATCAGCATTAAAAAATAGTAGTTTTTCTATACACTTACAATGGAGTGGCTAAAAAAAAACAGAAAACAAGTCCATTCACAATAGCTCCCAAAAATAAAAGCTAGGGATTAATCTAACTATGGAGATGAAAGACCATTATGATGAAAATTTCAGAACACTGAAGAAAAAAATTGAAGAGGATAGAAAGACCTCCCCATGTTCATGGATTGGTATAATTAATATTGTAAAAATGGCCATATTACTTAAAGTGATCTACAGATTCAGTGCAATCACAATCAAAATATTGAAAAGATTCTTCACAGAACTAGAAAAAAAATCCCAAAATTCATATAGAAGCAAAAAAGATCCAGAATAGCCAAAGCAATTGCAAGGAAAAAGAGCAAGGCTAAAGGTATTACAATAGTCAATTTCAAATTATACTACAAAGCCATAATAAAAAAAATGATACTGGAACAAAAATAGACACAAAGACCAATGGAATAAGGACAGAGAAACAAACCCAGACAACTGCATCTATCTGATTCTGAACAAACAAGCCAAAAACATATTTTGGAGAAAAGATAACCTCTTTAATGGTGCTGGGAAACTGGCTATCTACTTATAGAAGATTGAAACTAGATCCCTGTCTTTCATACAAATACTCTTCTGACAGAGGATTAAAATCTACAGTATATAAAGAACTCAAAAAACTTAACACCCCATTTCTCCCTAATATGTGGAATGTAAAAAAGATTACAGGAAATTAGAAGGGAGACTATTATTAGACAAGAGGAAGGGAGTAAGAGGGAGCAATAAAGGTAAGTAAATAGGGATAGATGTGATCAAAACATACTTTATGGTTTGAAAGCTCCCAAAAAATCAATTCCAAATGTACCAGAGATACAGGTTTAAAGCCTGAAATTTAGAAAATACTAAAAGAAAATATAAAGAAAAGACTTGAAACCATAGGCACAGGCAAAGAATTTCTAAATAGATCTCCCATAGCACAGGAAATAACAGCAAGAATCATTGGGGGACCATATCAAATTAAAATTTTTCTGCTCACTAAGGGAAATAATAGAATGAGACCCTACAGAGTAGGAGAAAATATTTGCCAGCTAAGCTTCTGTCAGAGGATTAATATCTACAATATATAAAGAACTCAAAAAACTTAACACCAAAAAAATCAAACAGCCCAATCAGTAAGTGAGCAAATGAATTGAACAGACATTTCTCAAAAGAAGTACAAATGGCCAATAAGTATATGAAAAATATGTTTAACAACTTGCCATGAGGGAAGCAAAAATCATTGAGATTCTTTTTCAGTCAAGTCAGAAAAAAAGCTATCATCAAGAATACAATAAACAATAAATGCTAGCGAGGATATGAGAAAAAGAACACTTCTACACTGCTGATAGGAATGTAAATTAGTGAAGCCACTATAGAAATTAGGATAAGCTACCATTTGACAACTATACTACTCCTTGGAATATACCTGCAGGACTTAAAATCAGCATACCCATGTTTATTGCAGCACAATTCACAATAGCTAATGTATAGAACTACCAACAGATGAACAGGTGCCCATCAACAGGTGAATGGATAAAGAAAATGTGCTGTGTATAAGTATACAATGGAATATTATTCACCCATAAACAAGAGCAAAATTTTGTCATTTGTAAGGGAAATCAGTGGATCAAGAGATCATCATGTTGAGTGAAATAGGTAAGTTAAACTCAGAGAGATAAATATCAGATATTCTTCCTAATATGTGGAATCTAAAAAAGATGACAAGAAATTAGAAGGAAGATTATTGTTAGACAAGAGGAAGGGAAAAAGGGGTGGCTATAAAGGTGGATAAATGGCGAAGTGGATGTGATCAAAATATATGTTTTGAAACCCCCAAAATGTGAGATTAGACGGAGGGCAGGGCAAGAAACAAGATGGGGGTGAGAATGGTCAAAGTGTGTTATGTACATGAACAAATATCCCAAAATGAAACCCATTTATCTGGACATTTGATATACACTAATATAGAATGGAAAGAAAAAAG